AAGAAAGAGAACAATAAAAACCAACAAAAACAACAACCTCGCTCTCGCCCTGGTACTCCAGAGCAACAACCAAAGAAAAAACAAAACACCTTACAAACTGTTGAACCTGAAAGCAGTATGTCCACCAACAACAACAACGAAACTCCACTTATAGATGTTGACCCTTCTCTGCTCGATAAAGAAAAGGGCAAAGAAGTGTTACAAAGTGAAACAACCTTGGTTGTCACTGTAGAACAAAGTGAAATGAACGTCAACAATGTCAACAACGCTTCTGAAAATTTCTTGAACAAAAAAACAAGCCCTCAAGATATTTTCACAAAAAAAACGAAATTTTTCGCTTTCTTCCCAACAGATGACTACCCTGGAAAATCCCCCCAAACAAAAGTATCTGACGTCACGGATCTCGTGTTTGACAGATTTGATTCTTTCTCGGGTGTTGTCCTAGCCAAACACCTAGAAGACCAATCAAAAAGTATACTCAAAGCGACATTTTTCGACAAAGACGAAAGGGACGCGTTCTGTAAGGTCATGTTACCTAAATTAGAAAATCGCACATTTTTGCCCTTTAACATCACACTAAAACATCCATTTGTGCCACAACAATCAATTAAAATTACAGAAATTCCATTTGACGCAACGGAAGTAAGAATTAAGAAAATCTTTTCCCGATTTGGAAAGATCGTTAGGTTCACCATAGAAACAAAAAACTTATGACAACAAGCCACAATTACATATGACAACGACGCCAACTTCATAGAACTTCAAAAAGGTCATAGTGTCTTCATTTTCAATGATATAGTGCGATTTCATATGTGTGACCTATCAAGGGATCAAATACTAGAATGATCAAAATTTTCAGCCAAGCTTACATGCCTCCCACGTTACACTATGAGTAAAGATTTATCTGAACTCAGATTATTGACCAACGCGACAACATGGATCATCCCTAAGGCTAGATTCAACTACAACAACTTACAACATGCCTTCTTCTACTTCGCATTGGTGAAAGATCACAAAGCGACAATCAGTAATAACAACCTCACGATTAATGGTAAATGGGTAAAATGGACAAGTAACAAAACGAAATTATGTGCCATCTGTTCCTCTCCCCAACACAAAATTAAAGACTGTCCAAAAAAACGAAGAACACTCAACGATAGAAATACACAGAACCTATACCAACGATTTCAGCCTGCTCAATATAATAACTATAAGGCTCTGTCCCGCTCTAGACGAGGAGCAGTCAATCCAAACGTGACATTCACCAGAATCATTAAAGGAAGACAGGAAGAAAAACCTTCGCCTCTAACAAAACCTAATTTTGGTATTTCCAACAACGAAGATGGATCCTTTGCATTAAGAGGTCCGAACAATACACTACTCCCTTCCTGGACTGATGACGTCCCACCAGAGATAGATATTATCGATAACACACTTACCTAATAGAATCACGTGATATAGCCACTGGCACAAAAGCTGGAAGCTCTATGCATGAGAAATCTAATGTAGAGGATGATTTCAAAACGTTTATTAAAGACAGCTTCTAACAGTTAGCCCAGAAACTCGAAGATTTTACCATAGTCATGGGCTCCGTCATGAAAAGAATGAACACAATTGAAGACACTCTCAATATCAAGGTTATAGCTCCAGACGAAAATATGGACGATTCAGATATGGTGTATGGCTATGACATTCTGGCCATAGATACATCCCACTCGGTTATTAATAAACAACGACGCACTATTAAGGCACTTAAAGAACTTAATGACGCTCAAAATTTACGGTTAAAGCATTTCACAAAAACAGTAAATGGCTTGGTAAATTCGTGTAATGCATTCCGTTCGATTCTCGTCCAAAACAATTTATTATCAACAGGAAAAACAGCAGAAATATTGATCCTCAACACTAACTACGACATAACGGCAGATAAGGCTCTAAAGAGCCTTCCTCAATTCTAAATCATATAATCATGATTACTGTTTCTACAAATACCAATAATGCTTCCACCTCTTCAAACAACGATAATTCCACACTTCCAATAAATATTCCAAATCTTACCTTTGCTACCCATAATATCAGATCATTCACAAATGCAACTAAACAACATCTCCTTCTCTCCCTTTATTTCGTATATAACATAGATAGCATCGGCCTTTAAGAAACTAACTTCAAACAAATACATGCAAAGACCTTCAACCCAACTCATTCCTCCCACATCTCATTTTTCAGTTCAATACCAAGATAGAGAACGGCCTTTGGAGTTGGACTCATATTAAAGAAAAACATCACCCATCATGTCTTCAAATACGATACAAAGCTAGATCGATTAATTTACGTAGATTTGCAATTCGTTAATAAACAAAACTACGTGTCATTAACTATTATTTACTATCCGCAGATTTAAAAACAAGACAGGAAGTCCAAAATATACTCACCAAATGGATCAAAGAAGCCTCATCTCTAGATTATTATGTGGCCATTCTAGGAGATTTCAATGCTGATATAGACCGACAGCATAACCCAACAAACGCACTTAAATATTTTGACACATTACTTAGAATGTCTATGTTTGATGCCTTCACTCTCAAACATGATTGTGCAAGAACCAATTTCCCTTCGTACACTAATAGTCAAAGTACATCAAGAATAGACTACATATGGATATCAACTGAACTCTCTGTCAATATACTGGATTGTTATACTATTCCGATAGCTTCAGATATATCAGACCATCTGCCAGTTGTGACAAAGTATACTAACTTCTTAGATATCAAATTCAATAGACGGAAAATAAAGGCAAAACTTAGTTTTGACTTTAACAAAATGGATGATCATAAATGGAGCAAATTTGGAACTAAATTTGATGCACTCCTAAACGGCTGCTCACTGAAAACCGTAAACGTTAAGACGTTTTGGATACAAACATTGCTCAACAAACAGTGGGATCAATTTCAGGACCTACTGATTAAAGCTGCTGAATCGACAATTCCCATCCAGAAATCAACAGGATAATTTAAATATTCACAACCCCCTAGATTGTCCAAACTATATGTACAACTAAAAGAACTTCACAAATTCAACAAGTTGTTACGATCAATAAAAAATGTGGCATCTTTTCTAATTTCTTGATCTCATTCTTATGATGTCTACATTAATATTGCGCACTCACTGAACTTCGTCACTGCTCACCCTACCCCAGACTATCCATTCAGTTTCATTGACCTTTTGCTCTCAGATACTAATTTATTAATTAATATAGTTTATTATAAAACCAAACTTTACGAGAAGGAATACAAACTTCAAGCAATTCAACAAGCACTCAACTAATGACTTAAAAACTACGCTATACAACCTGGTAAAATGTTAGATTCTACCCTAAATCGATCAAGAAGAACCATAACACTTAACCGCTGTCTATCAAGAAATTCCAAAGATTTGCTTACGGACAAAAATGAAGTTAAACTCAATGTAAATGAACATTTTCAGAAGGCGGCGGGTATTACCCACGAAAACAAAGAGATACCAGAGGAATGGAGCTCGATTTATAATCTGATTTCCAATATCGATCCTAATATATATAGGTCTTTAATGTTACCCCCCACAGCAGATGAATGGTACAACATTATAAATTTCTTAGCTGATGGTAAAGCATCAGGTCCCTCAAAGATCCACAATGAAATGTTAAAACACCTCGGCCCACTCACCAAAAAACTGTTTTGGCACATTATTTGTGGCTGTTTAAAGATCTCATCATTACTGAGTAGGTGGAAATTAGCATACATATACCCGATCCCCAAACCTAAACTATGGGAATATGACCTAAATAACACTCGACCTATCACGCTCCTGGAATGCCCAAGGAAAGCTTTAATCAAACTGATCAACAGACGTCTCTCAACAATCTTTGTTCAATACAGCATACTAAAAGGACACAACTTCGCAGGTCTACTATTTCGTTCAACCTTTGAACTACTACATATTTTCGATAATATTAAACATGACACACTTACCAATAAAAAAGAGTTGTGGATCCTCTTACAAGATATGTCCAAAGCCTATGATTGAGTAAACGTATTTATGTTAGTCAGAGCCTTGGAAAGACTCAAACTACCTAAAGGATTCATATATTTTATTCTCAACATGTTCATTTCTTGGGAGAACCAAGTTTTCACGGCCTTCAGTAATACAGACATATATAAAGTATTCTCAGGTATTGACCAAGGAAAAATTATCTTACCTCTATTATGGTGCATCTACTACGATTCACTCTTATGTAAGGTACAATCTTCAAGCCTAGGATATGATATGTCAGTCAGGTAGAAACCAGACGTACGAACTGAATCTTATGACAGCCTCCAATGTAAAATATCAGTCTTGGTATATATGGATGACACACTCTGGATTGCGTGATCGAAGGAAGACCTAAATAACATAATAGACATAACGAACAGCTTTTATGAATTGAACAGTATACAAGTTAACTGGGAAAAATCTGACCTGTTGACAAACTTGTCAGACACTCAGACACTCATTACTAATGTACACAGTCACGATCACGTAATAATCTCAGTCAAACCCAAAAACTCAGTGCGATACCTTGATGTATGAATCTCGCTGAGATGCAATAAGACGTTCACAGTCAATCAAGCTGTTCAAGATGTGAAAGCCACTACAATAATATTAACTAATAAAAAGCTCACAGACAAACAACTCATTTATACTTACAATGTAGTCATCATTCCACGAGTTGAATATCGTACGCAGCTTGTGCACCTGTCTGAAAATGCTTCAGATCGCATTGTTAGACCTTTCAGATCCTTTCTCAAGAAAAAGCTCCACCTTTCAAGAGACACCCCATCATGTATGTTTTATTCTAAATTTTTTTACGGTATCAATCATTTACATCATAAATACACACAGGCTCTCAGCGATGCACTTCTATATGCGGTAAACGACAATAGTCTATTAGGCTAAACCATTCACATATGACTTCAGCAAATACAAATACAAGAATGGCTACCATCGTCTTTTTTAAGAGAATGGCCCTTTAACAATCCAAAATACTTCAAAGATTGGATTCCGGGCCTCTTATGCGACTTAAAAAAACTTAATATAAAAATAGTTCTACTTAGTCACGTTCAAGGGCATATACTAGGTGGTTCTACCTTGATACAGTCCATCATACCAAACAGCTACAGGAAATTTTCATCTGTTTTAGCCAAAATGTCCCTTTTATTTGTGG